AAGTCCTCCTTTCTTGTCTCGCTTGCCCTGTGAAGTTGTAAGTAGAATAATATTCCTAATTTTCTGGGCTGAGGACAGAGGCCTCACCTTCTCTCACACCTCAGACTCCACATCGTCTTCCTGGCACAGACACCAGCAATGGGTCTCAGGGGAAGGTGGGTGGATCCTGGAAATTCTGCAGGCAAATGGAACTAACTCTGCAGGTGTCACTGGGAGCATTAATGAAACACACACACACCACAGAAGGAAACAGCAGAGAAAGCAGAGAGGGACAAGAGGAGAAATAAGGTATTCACAGGGCACTTAAAACTATACATAGAAATTCCCTACAGGAGGGAGAGAACATACCTTGGGATACAAAGCCGAGTTGAGGGGGGAAGAGGGAGGCGGTGGGAGATGGGGGATAATTGCGTGGGGGACATGGGGTACAAACACAATTTGTGATAATGTGCATGCTGCCAGTATGGATCTGGCCTTCACATCTTGGGCATGAGGGGCGACAATCAGCTTTGTATCTCATTGATATTCATAACTAATAGAAAAAAAAAAAAAAGCAATTCCCTGCAGAACAGCTGGGACACCACTGCCATAGATGACAAAGTCTGTGTAGAGCATTGCTTATATCCGAAGTTAATAACACAGCCACCGAAGTCAAGCTCCGTTACCCCAGGGGATGAAATGAAAAGTGTTGTAACACAAAGCTTGCCTATATATAATGTGCCCAAGAATATATTTAAATCGGAAAACAGATAAGCTAGGTGGGTAAGTGATGATGTCACAAAAGAGAATCTATATAAAGGGTTCAGTGTAAGTTAGTCTGGGAGCCTGTTACAATTTGTAACTTATTAAAAAATACTAGCTTGTAGTCAGTGTGGTATCTTCCACGGTGAGTGCTAATCCCAGGAGTGGTTAGCAAACATGGCTGCTGCCATCAGATGGGGCTGCGCCCCAGCAGTGGCTACAAGCTCTTCTGCAACTCAACAGATACCTTGCTAGTTAGCATACTGTAGATTTTAAAAAATAGCTTCTTATTGGTGAAATTCGTGTTTTGCTAATTGTCATGTGGGGCTCTCATAGGCAAAATTAAATGTACTCAATACTGGCCAGAATAGCTGACTTAAGTAGAGTGTGAGTCCAGAAATCTCCCTCAGTTCCTAACACAGCAGCTGGGGCCTGCTTCTTAGCTGGGCCAGTCCCCTTGCCAATTTAGGAATACTACAGAATCCCACCTCAGGAATACTATGCATCTATATCAAGCAAACCTTACACACAACACAGGGTGTGGTCAGAACATCTAAAAAGAGAGCTGCGACACCATCCAGCGAACAGAATAGGACATACTGTTTTTGTGCCAGCTTCATTATGAAATGAGTATTGATTTCATATATGAAACAATTCCACGCTCATTCTAATCTGGTAGATTTAAAGCAGTAGCCCACTTACCAGATCAGATTGGTCACCTGATCTACCAAAGGCAATAGGCTTGGTAACCTTTAAAAACACTCCAATTGTGTAAAGGAGAAAAGCTTTTAGGAAATTGTTTCTGAAGAATTGTCTTACAGGGGATGTCTGTAAAAATTGCAGGTTGTAATAATGCTTAAATCTTAGAGCAAAGCTCTGTACCTACCGGGAGATCAGAAAGTATGTACGAATGAGAGAGAACAGTGACCGATGGTGGTTTATGCAGACAGAGGAGCCGACACAACACAGGCCATGCCCAGTCTGCCCAGAACACAGTCCAGACACTAGGTTTCTGGTCATTAGTAAAGGATTAGTATAGACCTCTTAGAGAAAAATTGTTTAGGCCTGTGGAGAGCAGCCCCTGACTGCACAGAGGGCCCACAAGGTTTTCAAATCAGACATGCGCAACACTCAATGTCTATGCACCATCTGTCTGGCAAGGAAGGTTATCAGGGACACAAAATCAGACTTAAGCATTCTTTTTTTTTTTTTTTTGTCTTTTGTCTTTTTCCGTGTCCGGCAATGGATCGCAACCCTCAGTGTTGCCCCTGTACCGGACCGGGGACCGGCAACGGGATCGCAACCCTCGGTGCTGCTCCCGTGCCTCGCTCAGCCCGCGAGCGGGAACCGGTCCGTATGTGGGATCCGAACCCTCGGGCGGGAGCGCCCCCGCGCTTCCCAAGCGGCGCACTATCCAGTGCGCCACCGGGCCGGCCCCCTTAAGCATTCTTTTTAATCCAATGATCTCTCTTTACTAGTTACTTGGAAAGTTCAAGTGACTTTATAAAACCTGAGGATTTGACAGGAGTATCCTCCTTTGTAATTTGAGGAACCTAACCAAGGCACTATCCACTCGATATTAACTGACTAAAAGATAACGTGGATTCGAGGTTCAGGTTATGCTTCTCTGAGAGATGAATCATCTTTCAAAATTTCAGTCTGCTAACCAAGTCAACGAAGTGGCAACAAACGTCACAACTTTGTGTGAGGTTTGCTGCAGGGTTCCTTAAATAAGGAACTCCCCAAGCTCACGCATTTGTAGAACACTAACAGAGATGGGCTGAAAAACTAGAGGAACTAAGAGTTAAGAGTACTAATGAAAAACAAACCTTGCTTAAGCATGGTAGAAGCTGATGGGCACACGGAATTAGATTTTTTTACTATTCTGAAAAACCTGGTCACTTGAATTTTGCTTTGGAATACTGTGATGGCCTATCCAGCAATGGCCATGTTTAATGCCAAAGAATTTCACAACATTGTCACAAATAACCTGAAAGTGCAAAGTGCTGCTCTATCTTGCATTCCCCCTCTAACCTCTCCCCACTCCAAACTGGATACAGGGCTTCAGTTGCTATTGAGATGGCTCACACATCCCCTCCCCGGCTCCCTCAACCCCCAATCTCAGGTAGAGAACTGTTTTAAAATGTCTAGATGAGTTTTAGAAAGAGCACAGCCATTACCTTTTGTTGGCATTAACATGAACTTTCACATATAATTCTGGGAAAATTTCATACCTGGAGTTTTACTTTTTATTTTTACAGCACATGAAATCAGCATTGCATGTGTCCCCAGAACTGTGCATGGAAATAAAAAAGACACACAACAGATACCTTGTATATGGTGAACACTGCTGTGGGGCTTTTCCCTACAAAACCGATACATTTGTTAAAGAGCTTTGAGCACCCACCCACTCCTCCGTTCCACTTGGATAGTTTTTTTATACACATCTGAATCAGAGGCTGTAATAAATGTATTCGACTCCAATATAGTAGGTTTACTGTATTTGTACTGAAATCAAGTGCAGGAAATCCATTCAGAAGACCCCTTTCTCTGCCACCTCTTACCCTATACTCTCTCCAAAGTCTCCCCACCCCCTTTATCCTGCTTTCTTATTTGCCTTAAATAGAGATATGAATTCTCAAAGTTTGTGCCTATCCCGAGAGCCATGGTGTAAAATATATAACAGAAGTGGAATATCTGCTGTGAGGGGCCTAGCTTTGTTCTGGGGCCTAAAGTTTAGACCCATCAAGAGAACTCTTTTGGACCTGCCTTACCTGTTTTTTCAATTGTGGCTCACAGACCAGAAAAAAATACAAGGCTTGGTGACCTTTGAAAATCTGTTAGTGTACTATTGCAATTTCAAATATTGAGATGAGGAAGAAAAAATGGAGGGGAGTGGAGAGGATAATGGGATGTATTTTTGAGTTACTTCTATTATTTCTACTAATGTAATCTGCTATCCTAAACTACATTTCTCTGGGAGCTGCAGGAAGAGGTGCTTTCTCTTATTTTATCTAAATCTAATTATAAGTAAGAGTCCACTATTCTGTTAATAACAAACTTAGGTTATAATTCTGTGGGTTAAAAACAAACAAACAAAAAACCCAACAACAATGCAATCTAAATACAAATCTGAAGATTTTACTATAGCCAACCATAGAAATTATATCCTATGATTGCAGCCATAAAAGAAAGCTCAGCTATTCTTATTCAAAGAGCTGACAAATTTTAGGAAAGTAAATGAATGAAAAACGATCTGAGGAAGTTGTGAGGCAGATTCAACTATTTCAGTCAAATTCCAAATTCCATTGTTCTCTGTGATTAAATATCCAGGACAGTGATGTGCATGGCTATTCCTCACAGAATTATAGTTCGGCAGGGATTACCTTGAGATTCTTAAACATACTGGATATTCCATTCCATAAACTATACAAAAATAGAAAGAAATATAGTTTCAAACATTCTCTGTAGGTCTTATCCTTCACTGTAAATTTTTTTGGTTCTCTCTAAGTCAAGAAATTAATCTCCTTCCGGAGCATCTTGAGCAAAAAGATTGAAATTATTTCCAAACAGGAAGTAAAGACAAGCGCTGTAGAACATTTACAAACCCATATTACAGACACTCAAAACCCAACAAAACAAAAGCCTCTCAAAACTCAGGATCTGGTCCTTACAAATTTGGAGGTATAGCCAAAATAAACAACGATATACTTCAATTTTGTCTCCTCTCCATCAAAGTCTTTTGCACTTTATTTTTATTCAGTAGTACATCCAATAATAAGATGTTGATTCAGAAACTAAAGAAAAAGGACACAAGAATTTGAAGGGCTTAAATATATTTTTTATATTGATATTCTGTGTCTTTCTACCCTAAAATAATACATAATTATTGATTACATACAGGATGAGGTGAGGTATTTGTAAAATATCTGGTAAAAAATAATATACAGTATTCTATATGAGATGGAATCTTATGAACTTTCAGGTCTTCTAAAGTGTTAAACTGATCATCTAAATTAAACTGCCCTAAATGGACTTACAGTTGTTCCCTAAAATCATGTTGAAAAATGAAGGATCTCACATTTTCCCAGAATTTGTGTAGAAAAGAGAAAGCACATAATTGGCCCCAAAGTAATACATTCACACAAAATCAGGATCTCCATGTTTAGCATTAAAAAAAAAAAATACTGGATTAGAGATATAAAATCTCTGAGTAATGGTTAGGCTAATTCACCAACACCAAAGAAATTCAAGTGGTCAACAGTCTTGAAAATGCTTTATTGAAATGTGTGACTTATGTGCATAAGATGTGTTTGAAAAGACCACAGCTTGAAAACTGGTTTTTGAAAACTTTTCAACAACCAATGGAAAAAAAAGCAAATCTCTACTGGACTTGACTTCTGGTATAACCAGAGGCCTGGTGTAAAACTTTTCTGTAAAACATTTTCCATTACAGAAACTAAAGAAAACAAAGCTATTATACTCGAAAATCGTTGGACTCTGAAGATTCAGAGGAGAAGCAACAGTTTTTTAGACATGTAAGGTGACTTCTTTTTTGGTTACATTTGGATGAACATGGACTTCACAGTTCTCGGAAGAACACCAGAGGAGTGTTCAAATCTGTATGCATGTCACGTTGAAGAAACAGAGAAACACAGACAGGAAAGGAAAAGGATGACGGGAGAAAGAGAGGAGACCGAGAAAAGGGCTCAGAGAAAAGAGAACTGGAACAAGACATGATTAGGTTAAGTCTAGTTATAAATTTATCAGAAGCTGTGCGCACCTTTTTTAAAAGTCCTAAATTTACATTCCAAAAACTGCCCCCTAACCCTCAAACCTGCTGTCCCTGCCTTGGAGCTACTGTGAAAGTCTATGCACAAAAACTGAAACAGAAAATAAAAAATAACCTGGCCCTTCCAAACCCCAAAACAAACCCAAAGAGCTGTACATGTTTTTTACACATAGGATTAATAATATAGGCATACAGGTGGCATGATTCAATTAAAAGGCTTTACTTTTATGCCAGAAAAAAAACCCAATAAATAAAAGGTGCTAAAGTTAGCATTAAGAATTTGGTTGTAATATATTGACAAAATCTGGGAAGGCAAATCCTCAAAGCTCCCGATACTGAACTGTATCAACAAACTACAAAGCAAATACATAAATAATGCAAAATATGATTGAGAATGTGAGATTTTTTAAAAACAAAGACAACATAATTCAGGTTAACTTTGTAGAACAGTGAATAAATGAAATTCATCTACACCTGAATAAAACATATTTAACAATTAAAAAAAATTTAAACAACCACAAAAAGTAAAAACTTTAAACAAACATGAACAGGATTTGTTTTTAGGGCACACAAACGCCTCTGCAGCAGATTCCGACAGTAGCTTTACTGGTGTGTCTTCTACAGATGAGTTAAAGAGACAGGCTGAGCTCCACACAGGCAAGATGACTAACAGGGCAACAGGACAGTCACACAGGGTGGAGTGCCACACCCGGCTACAACCCCCAGATTCCACTGCAGAGCTGGCTTTGTGCGTAGGAGGCACACAAAGAAAGGTGATTCAGGCAGACATTATTCAAAAGCTACTTTGTCATGTAACCATTGAATAATGTTTGGGAAAGCTTTGGGCTTTGTTTTTTTTTTTGTTTTTTTTTTTAAGTTTTACTCCTTGTATTTAATTTTTTAAATAACAAGGTCACTAAAACTCATGCACGCTGCAAAAAACCTCATGCAGTAGTTAAGGTAAACCATCCAAGCAGTTTTTATTCATTAATATTCATAAATACACACAGCAGCTTCATTAGAGATTTCAATTTTCCTCTTCAGTTTGAATGTGGAGTATTAGGAGAGCCTTTTGCATGTCAAGGTACAGGAAGCAGAGATCACCCCTGCACTGCTACCTACATTTACCTGCTAGAAGTAAAAATTAGTTAAGTGGAAATGATTATCATATATATTTTCTCTCTTCCTTTTGAATGTACACAATGTAACAAGAGTGACAGACCTGAAATTACAATCACCAAACAAATCCAAGATAGTTGTTGTCCACTTTCATTGGCAAATACAGCACAGAGGACATTGTCTGCGAATTGGGATGTCATCAAAGAGGAGGTGGTGGAGGCTCATTTCCTTTATTACTCTCTTTTAAATTTAGGTTTTCTAAAGCAACATCTAAAGGCATAATATCTACACAGCCCATAGCACCAAAATCTGCCATCTCCCCCCGTTCATCCTCGTCTGAGGACGAGCTCTCTTCACGCACTAAAGTGGACAGAAGGAGCTCCTGGACAAACAGGCTGCGGTCTGCACGCTCGCTTTCCATGGACTGGCGCTCTGTTTCAGACATTTTAGGATCATTCAACCTGTATAAGTTAAAAAGAAAAGACCTTATTGGCAAAAAGTCAATGAACAATGGCATGGCCAATTTCTACAATGTCCTTCACTGTGCAAGCTTTACAGGTGGCAAAATTCAGAATCTGGGACATATTACCGGAACAACTTGCTCTAATTTATCACCTTAAGTATGTTGTGATGAATTTCCCACACTTGTAGCTATACTGTTACCCTGAGGTGTAAATCTATGCCTTAATTATATTCAATGAGGGAAAAAAATATTTAGACTTCTACTCCTTTCAAAGAAAACTACGGTAAAAAGTTTTCTGAGGAAAACAGTATTTCTAACAAATTAGACTCTTGGGGAAGTAGTAATTTCCCTACCCAGAATTTCACCTGTGGGTAGTAAAAAGAGGAAAATAGCAGCCCCTCTAACAAAAACAAAACCTGCAGTGACCAGAATATTCAACTGAAAAAAAAATCCTAAAACTTCCCCTGACTTTTCTCTTATCACTTCCATCTAATTCCTCCTGGAATGAGGGTATGTCCAGAAGCACAAGAGTGCAAGAAAACACACACTCTCCTACATTTCTCCTGCCAAAGACCTACTGTGTAGCAGGGCAGACAAGAGATCTACCTGCCTGACATGCTACCCTGACTCCTGCCCTTATGAGATCTGGCCTATACTGGGAAACTGGGCTCATCTGTAAAGAGACTGCATAAATGTTAAGAGCCAAAAATTCTATTTACAACTTATTACTAACTTAAGTGACTTACAAAATGTCAATTCTTCAATTAAAAAATAAGCAAAATTCTGCTTAGTTCAAAACTGATTTTACTTCTCTACATTTTTAGTGGCAAAGAAAGAAAAGGAAACTAGCAGGAGCACGGGGTCAGGAAAAGTAACAAAACAGGGAGAAGATGGGGACAGTGAAAGGAGGCCTAACAGGCACACATGACAGGTGCTTCTCCCTGAGAAGCCAGGGGCGCCCCAAGCCCAGAGATCTTCTCCATGCTCCTCTACTGATGAGCAACTGCTCCCTGATGTCCTACCGATGCTGAGAGGCACAGGAGCATCCCAAAGTCATACTGGAACGATACTTACTGGGCACTAACTACGGGTCAGGCTCTGTTCTAAATGCTTTTTGGGTGTATTAGCTCCTTTAACTCCTGTGAGTTAGGCCCTATTATTACCAACATTTTATAGGAAGAAGAAATTGGAACAGAGATTAAGTAACTTGCTCAAAATCTCATAGCTGTTAAGTTCAAAACCACTGAATGATTACCTCTATGGATCAGAAAACAAATTAAAATATCTAAATTTCAGAACAAAGTTATCTGGAAGGTAACTGCATAAAAGCCAGTAAATCCATATTGAAAGGAAACGACTAATAACATTTGTGGTTAAAACCAAATTAAGAATATCACAGGAAAGTATTTAGTGAAGTTGGATATTGAGCAGTAGACTACACATTCTCAATTCAGAACGATAAAAGGGTTAAGAACTGAAATACATTCCTTGTTCTCAGCTTTGGAAAGTCCTTTGGTAAAGGAAAAAAAAAAAATCTTGGGGCCGGCCCGGTGGCGCACTGGATAGTGCACCGCTTGGGAAGCGCGGCGGCGCTCCCGCCCGAGGGTTCGGATCCCACATACAGACCGGTTCCTGCTCACTGGCTGAGCGAGGCGCGGGAGCAACACCGAGGGTTGCGATCCCGTTGCCAGTCCCCGGTCCGGTAAGGGGGCCAAACTGAGGGATGCGGCTCATTGCCGGACACGGACACCAACCACACAAAAAAAAAAAAAAAAAAAA